AGTTTGGCACTGAGAGCTTTCATTTGATGCTAATAAATCCTGGTTTTCGCTTATCACTTGAAACACCTCCATTGTAAGTATTTATCTGCAAAAAAGGAATATTTTCAATAGTGACTCACTCTTATGCTTCACCAAGATTATTCAGTATAATTAGATCATCTATCTCCCACGTCTTTTTTTTAGGGTTCTTTCAGATAAGTATGAAAATATAGCTACTTAACGACGTTAATCAGACTTTTTGGATTACAATAAAGATTTAAGAGCATGTTTTATTTTGATAGTACAGTTAAGATTCTGCAGACAATAAGTGGTCAGCAGGAATATACTACTGTGCTGTCCTTTTCCCAACTTACCGAGATCAATCAGGTGAACGAGTAGAACATAACGATGACAAAATATTTTCCAAGAGACTTTTTTAATATGATAATACTATGATATTTAATTTCTTGTCACAAACATATCTTCCATAACAGATACATCAGTAATTTCACTGGAACGAACTCTAAAAATTGAATACTTCTATCTAGAAATGGGATCATGCATTAGAAAAACAACCGGTACGACAAAACAACACCCTTGTGGTGGCAATCCCTGTCCTCGTTGTGGAAAATGCACTGATTGGACTTATGATGGTGATTTAAAGGGTGCTATGGAGCATTGGATGCGTGGCGAATCTGATGAAATAACTGATCAGAAGCGTTGGCATCGTCATCCTGGTGCAACATGTGCTTATATTGCTATTCGTGCTCGTCGTACTGATCATGTCTGTCAATGCGGTTGATAGCAAATATGTTTGTTTTATGTTTGGCGTTTACCCTCTGACCTCGATGGTCCCGAAGGGACATTTGCTGGACAACAGATATATCTGATATAATATTTATTGAAAAGTAAAATATGAAATAAAGATAAACATACCATTATGTAAGAATAAAGCATAGACAAGTCGCTGCTCAGAAGGGGTGGTCATGAAAACAGAGATTTATGAGATGAGGAAATGTTGAAGTTTAAAAATAAGAAGCTTGAGATTCTAGAATATCACGGAAAATTAAGCAAGCCACCTAATATCGTCTTTGATAATAAGGACTACGGAGTCCGGCGTAATAACCTACTTTCGAACTTGATCGATTAGCATTTAATGAGAATGGCCCTACTGATAGATACCCGTCCTGAGTAGAGATGTGCACGACCGATTCTGATCCTGGTAATAGTATTCGAAATATCTCTGTAGTCTAGAAGCTTAAGAAAGTTTCGAATACTACGTTTCGTAGAGAAATGTTTTCTCTACAAAATAAGACTATCGTGAACACTGAGTGATTATCATAGCTGGAGAAAATGGTGTCAAAATCGGCCGGGACCAGGACCGGAACCAGTCTCGTCCCGGTCATTATTTTTGCTAAATTACTTGATATTGAGAATCTTTGGAATATTTTGAAACATACAGGTAGAAAGAGCACACATTTCTCTACAAAATGTGCGGTTCAACCGTAATTTAACAATAAAGCTGAAGAAATAGCAAGCCAATCTTTGACCGGGAGCAGAAAATTTGTTTTGGTCCCATGTACATCTCTAGGACTGACTAGTTGGACAGTGCACAACGAAACATTATTTTTGCAAGGATGAGTACAAAATATACAGTTACTATATAAAATTTACTCTTATAAATATGTATTTCGGCTCATAAAATTGATAAAGGCTACGCTTGTTTTAAGTTGCTACCATGAAAATTATGATTTTGTTATATTATAATGGAAAAAAGGATGGAACCATTACTCTGATTGAGAAATAACAAGCAGACAATTATCTATATAATGGTAGGCGAAAATTTGACAGTTACTATTTACTTCTTAGTTATGTTGGACAAAACGGCTAAGTCTATTAGAGATAAAGGCAAAAAACTCTTATACCAAAGTGTTCTAGATCGAAGTCGTAGTGTCTTATGTGTTGCACGAATTAGTGTACTGTTAATAAAGTTAAACTATCTAAACAAAGAACTACTATTTGCTCGTAAATTTACTGGAAAAATATGATTCTTTTTTTATTTGGAAAAGGCAATAATAAATGACTACATCTAATTGAATAATAAAGAAAAACCAATTCTATCTACATAAATCAGAAATTAAAAAAATATAAATTTTGTAAAGATAAATGTTAGCTCTCATAGGTACAGAGTCGCTGACTAGTAGTTGTCACTGATTGAATGTGATAGAATGAAAGAAAAAGATGCTCCTCGTATGACTCAAATCACATACCTTCTGCTATCCGAACAGATATCCTAGACCAGTTAGACTAGAACGGACATCTTAGTCTTAATTTACCGTTCGAATGAATCAACACGAGCGCTACTAATAAAAAGGTTAGCTGTATTACGTCTAAAAGAAAAAAATTATATGAAATTGCTATAATCATTATTGAGTCACAAGAAAAGAAACATTCTAGTCGAGTGAAATTAAAGGAAAAAAAATTGTCACGATAGTAAATGAGCAGAAAAATGGCTGCATTTAATATTTCTCGTTTTTTTTTTGAATATGTCGTCACTTTTTTTTACAGAATGAAACAATGGAAAAAAAATGTTGAGTGTTTCTGAGCCGATAGAAAGAACAAAAAAAAATTTTTTATTGCCTTGCATCTTTAGTCTATGCTATTCATCTTAAAAAATCTCTATATAAACGATGAGAATCATAAACTTTTTCTGTTCTTTTCCTGTCATTCGCTGGCAGCCCGCGCTCTGATTTTTATTTTCTCTTTTTTTTACTGAAAAATCTAGTGAGCTGCCTCTTTCTGAGTGTTAATAAATTCATTTCTTCACAATATACCGCCTGTTGCGTTGTTTCCGTTCTGTACAAGTAAGTTAACTCACAAGAGAACCCTCAAAGGTGTGCAACTTCGATTACCTTCATTCGTCTATCGTTGGATACAGGACGTGAGGATCGTAAAAAGTCTAAAAGGATTTGACCAGAGAGCATTTTCTCGAAAGGTTAACACGTTGACTGTCCGGTGCATCATATGTGATGCATCAGCAGGAAGAAAAGAAATACATACAGTGGGACTAGGGATGTTACAACACCAAAACTCTTAGGTTTTGGGGCAGTTTGGGTTTTTGGAATTTAGGTGGCTTTGAGATTTGGCGGTACTGGGATTTGGTACTGTAACATCTTTAAGTGGGACGTAGAACAAGTGTTTTTTTTTCTTATGGGGACAGTCAACGTGTTAAGACCATTTTCCTGCTTTTCTCAGTGAAATTGACCAACAATTAGAAATCTTATGACGAATTCAAATACATCGTACATATTTGAAATTTTTTGCAGTACAAGCTCACATATACTGCTGGTTAGCCTGAGAATTCTAGATTGTTTGACATTCCATTCTTGAGTTACAGATTATTAACTCAACTTGAAAAGTACAACGCTACAATTGATTACAGTGCTGTTTTTTCTCTTAGGTTTATGTAACTCTATGCTCTATTTTCATTTTCATTCTTAATTGTAAGCTTGCTTTTATTCTTTTTCTTTTAATTTTATTAATAGTACAATGAAAATAATCAGTGTATAACTAGCGATTATTGTTTGTAAAAGTTTTTAAGTGAATAAAGTATTTAAGTGAATAAAGTATTTTTCTAATGTGAAAAATGTCTACCTGATAGAAGCGCGACATACATGTAATACTCGGAACTTCAATTCGAATATTCAACTGTTCAATTATTCAGAAAACTCTTAAGAGGGCCCTCTCAAAATCGATCTCACGTCAGGAACGTCTAAACGAGTTGATATTTAAGACAACTACGATACGATATAAAGTCGAACATTTTTGTTTTGCTTGAAAGTGCATGTCAGGATACAGTGCCTATGAGGATCCTTTTTTAATCTTGTCTTTTAATAAGAAAAGGTCCCTGACAAGTTCGATCAGTGAAGAAACTCTAAAAAAATAGCGCTCTAATTAAGAAGACGTATTTCAAAAAAAGGGCTTTCATAGGCACTACATCCGGACATACTCTTTCAAACAAAAAAACTATTCGGCTTTACATTGTATTATAATTGACTTTCGATAGAGATGTGTCGTCATGTGACCACCACTTTGAGAAAAACGCACAACAATTTTTTTCAATAACGTAAATATATAGCGACGACCGTACTTTGTGGAAGAAATCGAAAACATGAATATTTGATTATTTGAAGTTTCAACCATTCAATAATCGAAGAACTGAAGAATTGATGAGATAAAATATGAGAATAATTAAATTCAAGTTTCGAGTTTGACACAACTGAAGTGTGGCTATGGGCATTATTAGATAGACGACGAACTATCTTGTACAATATTTGGTTTCATCTTAACTCCGAAGCTTTCACACCAAGATCAGATTTCTTGAGACTACGGAATTCATGTTTTTGCATGCTTAGCAGAAATCCTCTAAGTCAAGAATCAAATGCCCAAACATTCTAAAATTTTCTGGTTAATCAGTAGCGTATATGAGTTTATAGTGCCGAAAATTTTAAGTGTGTACAGTCTCTTATGACTGAGTTGTAAGATTTCCAGTTAATTATTCAAGATCTCTGTGTTCAAATGATTTTAGGCTTTTTACGATCCCGATATCCGTTATCGAACGATGTATGAGTGAAGAGATCGGAGTTCGACACCTCCAGTGGTTCCCCGGTAAGAGTATTTCTACGTAGGCCTAAAAAAGTTATTAAGTTGTCTCTACATAGTACTTTGACAGTTAGTAACGACACTCTTGAATACCTCTAAAAGAATTACCAAGAGCACTCCTAGATAACTGATACTATGCTGATACGATATTTATGTGCCAAACTACGGACTCTAAGTTGATTGGTTCATTTTTTTCCATATGAAGTGAACCACATTTCTTTGGGTAGCATGTTTGGCTCACTTCCTATGACCTTCTTACTGTAGTTAAATAAGCAAAACAACTAGTGTCTTTTAATGGAGATTTAAGGTTTTTTTTCTGTTCTGTTCTGTAATCATAGAATCAATATATAAAAATACCGACATGCGCTGACTGAAAAGAACCATTTCAATGCGCACTGTTTCGTTCTATTTTTTTAATTGTGTACATGACGACAAATACATTTAAGAAAAAAGTATTTTTCATTTTTCTCTCTACAATAATAATCGACATTCGGCAGAAGAAACATTTGCAAGTTATTCGAAGGCATTCGCACATCGACATTCTTACAAAATAAAACCGTAGATTATACTGAAAAAGTAGGTACCATACGAAATCTAAAAGTAATTTCGAGAGTTAAAACCATTTTGAAACTGTTTTTTCTCTCGAATTAAGTTGTATCAAACTGCAACCAAATAACTTCTAAAGTTTTATTAAAAATTAATTTTTAAATTCGTCTGGATACGTGAACGAGAAAATATTCATTCTGTTCTTCTTGAATATTCTTTTTATGTGGAACGTTTTGCTTATCTTCTGATCTTCTAATGATGCTTGTTGAGAGAGACCAGAATTTCGGTTCGAGCTTTTTGATCGTGTCCAAAATTTCGATGATTTTTTCGAGCAGAACTTAGTAGTTGTGAGCAGGGCGTTCTGCTTATCACTACGAAGTACACGCATAAGTTATTTAAATATGGCTGTTTCGAGCATTCCATCACGTGGCTTCAGACTCGGACCGAAAAGTTCTTGAATCGAAATTCAGCTAAACCGTAATGGATGTCTTCCAACTGCATGAATTTTCTCGAGATACTTAATATTTTCAGGTAGAACCGACATCCATATGATTGTTATAGACAAGTTAATATTAGAATTTATCGATCATCTTC